TCTGGAAAGTTTAATGAACGAGAGGATCAACTCACAGAAATTATTTATAACACGTAAATAAATAATTCAGGGCAATACCTATCGAAAACCGTGAAGTTTTTATTAAGTGACTAACAAGAAGTCTAGTAACTAATTGTACAACTTTTTCTTGTGAAATGGGAGTGTCAAGCTTTGGTTATGTGGAATACTGTTCATTAATGAAACGCGACGTCGCAGCTAATTCGTTTAAACCACCCTTTGCCAATCTATCTAACGACAAAGTTGATAATACTCCGTCGATTAAGTTACTGTAAAGTCTCAATACCGAAATTGTTTACGATGTCGGCAACAAAAGCTGAGTGGATCTACCCCTCTCCTAAAAGGTGATGTCGAAGTTCTAAAATGCATCAGCGAAGGTTGCGTTTTAAACACGATAAATACGGAAAAATTAATTATTTGGTAAAGTTTGAACGAAACTAGTAGGTACGTTTGAGCAATAGTGGAAGTGCTGAAGAGCGAGCTCGTTTGCAAAGTTTTCGTATAAAGGGTTCATATAAAAAATCTCAGCCTTGCTGAAAACATTGAAGTGTTCTCTAGTTACCGGTAGGTACGCTTGGTGGAGTGGAGTAGTCGGCGATCTGTACTTCGGTACTTACTGCGAGTCCCTGATTCGCGACTCCGGGTCTGGGCATGAACATTTGTAAATGTGTAGTGGGTTAGGTTGGTAAAGCAGCTTTAAAGTTTTACCTAAACCCCACATGAAAATAAAGACTTAGATAAAGACAGAATTAAATAAATCAAAATAAAATAAAATAGTCTCATTTCAATCAAAAGTGAGGGTGGTTATTTAGGAAAATCTACGGGTGTTGATACCTTGTAACCAACAAATGATAGAGAACTGAATCACCATAACCGGGTGCCTGCCGTTCTCCTTCACAAAAAAATACACGAATTAAACGGTATAATTACGAAATGAAATTTAATGGCAGTCAAAACAAAAAAAAATCCAATCGACAAGAGTCGAAGGAACGGTGGCATGAAACGGGCGCCACCAGAAGGTTTTCGGAAACCCTGCTTCTGGTCAGGATTAGGAACGGCAACTTTAATGGAGAACGGCGGTCCTAGGACTTCCAAAGGGCGAACGGTAGCGGGAACAGTAAATACGTGGATTCGGTAGCGGTTTGTAAGGGAAATCAATTGCAGCAAGTGAGATCCCCTGTAATTAATGAAACGGAAAATAGCAAAAAGCTTACCTTGCAATTAACAGAGCAGTAGTAATTACTGTTCTGATATAGTTACTGTGCGGTAAACTTAGTGCGAAACTAGACGGGGTTTTTTCCGCCGCGGAATCAACGCAGCGTTTTACACGCTGGAATGAAATACACGCGCTATGTGGAATAAACTAGACGGGCGTTTTTTCCACGCTTCTCCGCTCTGGCTCCGCTAGCGTGGGCGGATTCAACACAACCGGACGCGTTTTTCCGCTGCGATACGACTGTCTTAGCGTTTATTTGGCAGCAATTATTGTGAGAGACGTATTCCTTTCCGCAGAAATAATATCGCTCCCGTGTAGTTGCAATTGTAGCGGAAATTACGCTGCGTTGATTCCGCGGCGGAAAAAACGCCCGTCTAGTTTCGCACTTAATGTGAAAGCAAAATTTAAACGGTATGAATGCAAACAAAATTTACGGAAAAGCTTAAAATTAAACATATTTACAACAAAAAAAAAAGGAAAAAGATATGGTTCGGTTAAACGCCATAAGCAAAAAGGTACCCTCTAAACAACGACTGTAACTTTTATAAAATTCGTCCATTTCAAGTAGGGGGAAACGGGAATTCCCGCTCCGTCCGCTTATATCTTCGCTACGTTCCAAAAAATTAAAACCGTTTCTAATTAATTATGTCCTTCTCTGACATCTTAAAAATACGGGACCAGTGTAAAAATTTAAGTGAATTAAGAGCGCTTTTCTTAAGATTAGACCCAGCGCAATCGGACGCGTTTCTTACGACTCATTTAAATGCCAATTTGTAATTATGCTTACTTAATTTAGCGCATCCCAACATTCGTTAATCTAATTAACACCTTTTTAATTAATTTGAACCTAAATGCAATCGGCGAGGTCAAGAGAGCGCGCTGATTATCTGTGTTGTACGGCCTTTGAGTCGTCAAAACAACTTCATAGGAATCTAAAATCGGTTGTTAATTACTTAATGAAGCCGAAATCTTAAAATATTAAATCGGCGTCATTTTCCCCATGCCAAGAGCTGTCGGATGCTACAAAACTAATTTACATATTATCACTAAGGTAACAATTTGAAATGGGATGAATTAAATATCTGCATTATCGGTGGCTACAAGAAGCTTTCTTTTCTCCGATTATTTGAATTCCTAAAACAAAGCTAAATATGTTCAGTGCTATGGTCTGCGTAACAAAGCACTTCCAGGTCGAGTCCATATACCGGGTGTTCCTCAACACAGGTAGATTCAACGCGGAAAGTAAGTTACTTTGTTACAATCTATTTAAGTCAAATCTTGTATATAAATTACTATTTAGTTTACTTGTAAAACCCAAAATTATTATTTTTGAATGTGCAGGGTGTTCCATTTTTCTGTAAGTTTTTCAAATAGAACACAAATATTAAATAACCTAGTAATTACGAGGTAACTATTAAATAGCGAAGTAAAATAGTAGTAATTCCATTAAAAAAAACACTTTGAAATTTTACCATTTCCTTGTGAACACCATGTATCACTAAATCCAGCTTTCTAATTATCAAAGTGTTACACTTTATTCGGATTAACGTTATTAGCCCAATTAATTGCTGCACTTCAGAACACAAGGCCGCTACGATTCATCACAGGTTTGCGTAAGGGGAATTATTCGGCAAAAAATTAATAAGATGGTAACATTGACAAAGAACCAAGCAGGGAATAGCTTTCAATGTTAATAAATGACATCAAAATAACTAAAAATATACAGATTGTTCGTTAGTTTACAACTTCAGTAATATCAAATTACAATTTCTTGAAAGATTTATGACGATAACTTTTATTGTGGATTTAAATTTTTGAATTTTTCCGACAAAAATGTAGAATTTTTTAGGCTGTAAAAAATGTCAATGTCTTAGAATGCTCTCCCAGACAATATTGATTGTGTTGGCCTTCAGGTTTTAATTTGGGTGATTGTAATCAAGGGGTTGTGAACAACAAAAGCAGTTCAAAAAAAGTCGAGTTCTGTGCAAAATTTTACGTCAAATTACTTGCCAGAGAAGTGCATTTTTAATCTACTCAAAGGATTAATTATGTGTTAAACCATACCAGGAAATTTAAAATTCTTAAGTGTAAAGATATAAACCTAAATAAATAGATGTGCTGATCTAACACATTTTTCATTCTTGTGCGATAAAGAAAAACTGCATCGGATTCGGGGCGAATTAACTAAACCGCGAGAGTTTTTAATAAACCCTATCAAGTGACGAATGGACAACTAAAATTGTCAATAATTTCAACAATAAATTGAGTTCAGTAGGTCTCCTTGTGAGAGACTTAATGATAACTGCAATTTGTGCAATTGCTTACTGAGGATTTCTTCGAATTATATTAAACAGTAACAAAGTTCCTTAAGCCGTGTGTACTCAACGCATCCTTCGACGTTAATTTGAAGTAATACCCATTACCAGAATAATTCAATACGCCTGTAGTGTACTTAACCCCCAGGTTCTACGCTAACTTCACACTACAAGAACACGGAAATAAACTCAACCCGGCAACGTTTAAAAATGGTCACCCGAATGGCTATTCCCTCCAAAACTAAACAAGATCCCGGTTAAATTTGAGAAGTGGCACATGATCAAACATCTAAGGCAGGGCCCCCTTACGTTAGTTGTAGACAACGCTTTGACCTGAGGCACAGTAGGGAAGGAACGTTAAATAAGACACTAAAATTGTGAGAAGTTTGTTAAGTAGCAGGTAAACCTCAAGAGGTAACATATACAGGTTAAAAACAAGTTTTGGGAATTGGGGTCAGGTAAGAAGGTACCAAGGTTCTAAGAAAGAAGAATACACAGGATGTGACTCCTCTTTGGTGCAATACAGTCCTTTTGTTAAAAGCAATATGGAATATTACATGGTCTTGTAGGCAAATTTAACTAAAAAAAATTATTTAATCGCCACTCATTTATCGCACATAGATTCTAAACTGAAGGGCTTTGATTAGCGTAATCCCGCTCCTGCAAGATAGGTAACCCGCCCCTGGTTTCGGGGTTCGAGCCTATAGTTGAAGTCGAAGACAATCACGGAATTAGTTGTCGTAGCTCAATTTTGACTACAGTTTTTACCACTCCCGTGACTGCTTCATTCACGGAGAAAATGGTTAGTCACAAACAACAAGTCAGTACATACATCAAACGAATCGGTAATTTCCACATATTAAAATAAAATGAACAAAACTTATATGAATGATACTTTAGGGACAAGACCAAGTAATCAACATGAATAAACATAAATTAAGCAAACATTACACCAAAAACGTAAACGATTACAAACAATAGGATAACTGCATTGTGGTTAAACCAAGTAAATTTTAAAAACGCCTTCACGACCGCCATTCAAGACAAGATGCCCAATGTAACCCCCGTTCGTACTTTTTAGATGGCGCAGGCAGCTTCTTCCCACTTAGAAGTTGCATGGTTGCCAACTCTCAAATATGTATGTATCGTCGTAAGTTGTATATACAGGGTGGAACCTTTCACGCCGAATTTCCAAATGCATTTTTCATGAAAAACACATCTATAACATCTGTATCATCTGTAGCATCTGTAGTAGCTGTAGTAACTCTATCATCTGTAGCAGCTGCAGTATCTGTAACATCTGCAGCACCTGTAGCGTCTGTAGCACCTGTAGTATCTGTAGCACCTGTAGATCTATACCAGCTTTCTAGCATCTGTACCATCTGAAGCATCTGTATTATATCAATTGAACTGTATTTATATGCTCATTACACGAACAAATAAAGCTGTAGTCCAAGGTTAGTTCTATTTATTTCTGTTTAAGCATTCAAAATAAATATTGAGTATCTTTAATGTACAAAGAAATTGTATAAGGTTAATAATTAACATAGAGCTTTAAGTAATTGGGCTTAAAGGATTCAACCAATGTTTAAATTTCTGTTATTAAATCTAATTTGCAATTTGAAGAGCTTACTGAATTTGGTGTAGATTTAAGGTTTGTTTTGTTCAAGAATCTTTATTCCACAATTTCAACACAACAATTTACCCAAATTCAAAGGTTTATTTTCTTGCTCATTTTATCTGGTACCAAAGTGGGAAATAAAAAATTGTTTAGGTGTTTGTATGTGTAATGTTTCAAATTTGAAAAATTTTTAGAAATTGTGTAGTAATTCAGAGTGAAAGAAAGACAAAGGGAAGACTCAAAAAAAGGTAAAACATTTAGTAAAGGATAAGCTAGCAAACCATAATTCCAAGTAAAGTTCAGGACATCCCAACTTTCAAGTTTATCAAGTTGCACTAAAAAAGAAATCGTATATTGTCCACATTTTATGCAGTCATTGAATGCACATGTGTCCCTTATTGAAAACTTGTCAAAAAACTATAGTTTAAATTCTCGTGAAAGTCAGGTTTACTCCATGCTTGGCCGTTAGGAAGAGAGAACGACTAAATTCCATGGGATCCGTTGTATTAGAGTTTGTATGCACCATAAACTTGGTAAGTGCGTAAATTATACCCACTTTTGCCGTCAAAAGAGCAAATCTTTCACCTAAAATGCGTAATGAGTCAGCTGAACGCTAAAGAAAACTGTGTATACCTATACAGTTCCGTGAACCCTTTCCGAAAGGTAAGTAGGTGTAGCTATTTAATGAGTGAACATTGGATTCACTAAACCGTTCAGGATCGAATACTTCGGGATTTGGGAAATACTTTGGGTCTTTGTGAAGTGCATCGTGCGATATGATAATCTGCGTACCTTTCTCTATAATCAATCCGGTTTTTTTAATTTTGTAATCTTCAACAGCCTGGCGAGGTATCATTACCGTCATGGGATATTTACGCAAGGTTTCTAAAAAGTTATTTACTGAGTGTACCAGATCGAGAACCAGACCCAGACGTACCAGAAATAACCATGTGCAGATACTTCATCTCGTTAACTGCCTCGAATGTTAAACCATCGCATCTTCCAGTTACGCTAGCAATTTCTGCTCTCAGTTTTCTTTGAATATTGGGGTTTACTCCTAACTCATGTAGAGTAAGAGCGATTGCAATACTTGTAGGTTCCAAACCTGCTATAAAAAAGACGAGGGGATTTGCTATTAACATATCATCTAAAATTACAAATAAGAGCAGGCTTTCAACAATGTACAGAATTACTTGACTCGTGACAGAAGTATGGATTTTTACTCAGAATATCGACTAAATCTTTTCTTCCCGCGTTGTTTTGTGCGCGTTGCTTGATGACAGTTGCATATATACATTTAAAGAATTTAACCGATTCCTTATTGAATAAAGGGAACTTTAACAATCTAACTGCTGTAGGAGCAAAAAAATAAGCTGCCATTTTCAAACAACCAATAATCGTGTTGGGTAATATCATCTCTGCGTGCTTTTTTAGCTCATTCTTTTCATGTTTAAACGAGTTCGTATTGATTCCAAAAGCGCACGAGGAAATTACATCAGTCATAAATTTACTACAGACCTCCTTCACTTCCACATTCTCTCCAACCTTCATCGTTATGTACTGCTCCATGTTTTTACCACACTCCATGATTAGACTCATCATTGACCTCATCTTAGCGCTGGAAAATACCGGTGACATCTGCGCGCGCAGTTCCTTCCAATTAGGCGTTCTTATCGCAAATAAAGTGTTGCTTAGAATTGGCTCCCAAGGCGCGTCTTCGAGGCGGTTAGGAAATGCATCAAAATCTTTCACCAAAATATGCTTTATAATATCAGGATCTTTTAGAATCAGGTAAGGCCGCGTAAAGCTGTAAAAGCCAAAGTAGGGACTGCTGCCAAATTTACCGCACAGTTTAGATATGTACAGACTAATTGGATCGGGCGAAAAGGCGACACTCAGGGCATTGCCAAAAAGAAATGTTGGCTTTTTATTTGGTACTCCCCTTGATTTCCAGTAGTTAAATTTATGCTTGCAATACAAGTACAGGGGTATTACAATACCCGCAAATACCGCCGCCAAAGTTGCCAAAATGATGGCCATAATATTTTTGAATACTGCGAAGGTTGTCTCTACTTGCTGAACTACCACTTTCACTGAATCAATTTATGGTAGTGTTTTTCTTCAAAACTTACGAATGTGTTTCTTCCTAATTTTCACTATTTCTTAACTTAATTTGCGCATGTATTACTTAAATGAGGCTTTAACACGTTACTATGTTGTACCGTTGTATTTAACATTTACGATAAACCCAAATTCAAACAGAGTTCAATTGTTATCACCACGGTTGTATAGTTCCATAAAACGACGGTAAAGTGCGCAAAACTACAGATAATCACGCAATATATGTGAGTTATACATGAAAACAATTATTGGTAAACAGGAAACGTTTCGTAACAACCAATCTCGTCCAAGATTGATAAACGGATCCCGTTTCAATTAGGTCAATAATGAAGCCTCATTTTGGATTTTATATGTTAACATTGCCTTAATTAAAGATGTTGAGAATTACGCAAATGCAAAGGTAGAGAAGGAATGTGGGTGCACGAGTGCAGACCTTCGCCCCTTCTATGACCTTGTCCTAAATTAATGGGGCCCGAAATTTGCTATAACTGAATGGAGTCTCAAACAGCTACGTCCTTCCAAATCGTATGGCGTTTCAAAGACGCCGTCTGGTACCGATATATAAGAGGTCGTTCGATTATTTTATACCACGCTGGCACATCTCGGTCCAACAGTTCTTGAGCAACCCGATTTCGTTATATATTGCTATGCCAAAAAGGAGCATACACAAAACCTTTCAAGCCTAGCTAGCTCTTTAATTATAAATTTTTACGGTACATACCCTCATTCCAATACAGAAAAATGACCTCAATTTTTTTTACTTCCCGGCAGGCTGTGGGCAAAATCAAAATCTTTATATTCCAAACGGACTGTTACTAAAATTTGGACTAACACTAAAAATGAATTTTGGGCGAGAATCAAATAAAATTAACCCTAATTTAAACATAAAACTTCTCTGTTCGTCCAGAATAAAGGGTCCGAATTAACAAACAACTTGCAAGAAATTACACAAACAAGTTTTATTTTACATATACACAAGATATTAAAAAGAAAAGGAACAATCACCGCTCCGTTAAAATCCACATGAGTGCTCAGAACAACATTGCACACAACTACCAAGTAAGACTTAAATTACTTACAGTTTTCTTTTTCGAGACAAAATATCCGAGTAAAATTCGTACATCTAAACCATTAATAACAGACATAACACTGAATCCACAGACACCTGATGAACCCTGACACACACAAGCTTGATCCTATTGCTTCCTTTCTCTAATGCAAATGCGGTAAAATTTATCCTTATCCTTCGTAAAGCATAGTCATCAACTTCTTCCAACGGATTGCGCTTGGATTCCATAACAAACAGAAAGTGTCTTCCTTCCGCGTCTTCCGTATGTAAACAGAAATTCCACCTAAATTTCGGAAATTTTGTTTTTCTATCAACTGCATAGCTACGACGATAACCCATAATCCGCACTAATTCTTTTAAACTTTTCTGGTCTAATTGAACAATTTCTACCTAATAATCAAATTTTTCATACAGATTAGAATAGCTCCGTTAACTTAAACGATTACCTTTATTTCTCTCAAACAAGGGAAAAACTTAATACAACACATCCAAACTGTCATATTTGCATTAATGGGCACCCTGATAACAAATAAAATTGAGGTATAACAATTTCTTAATTTGGTTCTTCCAAGAAATCATTTTTAAAGAAAATAAACAAATACGATCTTGACTACACGCTCGACGCGCAAAATTGTTTTGTGTTAAAACGTAATTAGACCCACGACATTGATTAGGGAAAGAAAAATTTTGATAACATTAATTAACAAATACGCACCCGAATACCCAAATACAACGTCCCACCTGACATTGTTTACACAGGAAATATTTTAAGATCCTGAGATTAAGTGCCACTAACCAAAAACTGGAATAGCCCTCTGATGGTCGAGGAAGATAAGCAAGGCTAAAAGGGGAAATAAAGCAAACAGAAAACACGGGGGTAATAATTTTAATTTCGAACACAACAACAATTAAGATAATGAGACCACTTTTTATCTTGCATCATATAAATTAAAAAACCGAGCAACCACAAAAAAATAATTCGTGTTAAGAGAGTAGCGTATTTGTACTGTATTTACGGTTGAACATAAATCAGCCGGCCGGTCGATTCCGCTACACAACGAAATTCCCTTTTTGCATAAATAGACCACTTATGATTGCTTTTTGCTCGTAATGGAAACTCACAATGGATTTTAAAAGAATCCACGACAATAATTTCGTTAAGTTGGCGGCACAGTTTTTTTTTATAATGTGGTGACTTGTTTCAACCTTCGCGACAAACCGGTTTAAATCTTCCCTATACCTCCATTATACGATTATACCCAGCAATTTCACGCATTTATCTCATGCTTATTCAGAAATATAATCTTCTATTGATTCTAAAAAGAATGTAATTTAAGACTCCGAGACCCTGAAACCTGCCACAGTTTCACTAAATGACTAGGAGTTTCGTAAAATGACGAATTTCACTAAAACATTACGACACTTCAGAAATGTATTGGCATCACACTATGCACACTATTCATATACATACATAAAAGTCAGGAATATGACACATGACTGGCGAGTGAAGTAGTATCATTGTACTGGCGAGTTTGGTAGCACAAGTATAAAATTTCAGATTTAATATAGAACCTTTGATTAATAAAAAACTTCAGAAATAGAATTGATTTATCATGTTTCATCAAGAAATCGTCCACTTTTTACACAACAATTGAAAGCACATGTGTCCCATATTGAACTAAAGTTTAAATTCTCGTGAAAGTCAGGTTTACTCCATGCTTAGCCGTTAGGAAGAGAGAACGACTAAATTCCATGGGCTCCGTTGTATTAGAGTTTGTATGCACCATAAACTTGGTAAGTGCGTAAATTATACCCACTTTTGCCGTCAAAAGAGCAAATCTTTCACCTAAAATGCGTAATGAGTCAGCTGAACGTTAAAGAAAACTGTGTATACATACCTATACAGTTCCGTGGACCCTTTCCGAAGGGTAAGTAGGTGTAGCTATTTATTGAGTGAACATTGGATTCACTAAACCGTTCGGGGTCGAATACTTCGGGATTTGGGAAATACTTTGGGTTTTTGTGAAGTGCATCGTGCGATATGATAATCTGCGTACCTTTCTCTATAATCAATCCAGTTTTTCTGATTTCGTAATCTTCAGTAGCCTCGCGAGGTATTATTGGTGTCACGGGATATTTCCGCAAGGTTTCTAAAAAGTTATGTGCTTTTTCTGGCGCGTGGTAGATCAACTTACCAGAAATAACCATGTGAAGATACTTCATCTCGTTAACTGCCTCGAATGTTAAACCGCCGTGTCTTCCAATTACGCTAGCAATTTCTGCTCGCAGTTTACTTTGAATATTGGGGTTTACTCCTAACTCATGCAATGCAAGAGAGATTGCGGTACCTGTAGTTTCAAAACCTGCTATAAAAAAGACGATGGGATTCGCTATTAACAAATCATCATCTAAAATTGCAAATTAGAGCAGTGTTTCAACAAGTTACAGAATTACTTGACTCGTGACAGAAGAATGGATTTTTACTAAGTATATCCAATAAATCTTTTCTTCCCACCTCGTCTTGTGTGCGTTGTTTGATGACAGTTCTATATGTATATTTAAAGAATTGAACCGATTCCATATTGAATAAAGAGAACTTTAATAATCTGACTGCTGCAGGTGTAAAGAAATAAGCTGCCATTTTCAAATAACAAATAATCGTGTTGGGCAATACCATCTCTCCGTGTTTTCTTAGATCACTATTTTCATGTTGAAACGAGTTCCCATTGATTCCGAAAGCGCACGAGGAAATTACATCCGCCATAAATTTACTGCAAATCTCCTTCACTTCCAGATTCTCTCCAACCTTCATTGTCAAGTACTCCTCCATATTTTTACCACACTCTATGATTAGACTCATCATCAACCTTATCTTAGCGCTGGAAAATACCGGCGTCAGCTGCGTTCGCAGTTCTTTCCATTTGGGCGATTTCATCGCAAATAAAGTATTGTTTAGAATTGGCTCCCAAGGCGCGTCTTCGAGGCGGTTAGGAAATGCAGCAAAGTCTTTCACCAAAATATGTTTTATAATGTCGGGATCTTTCAGAATAAGAAAAGGCCGCGTAAAGCTGTAAAAACCAAAGTAGGGACTGTTGCCAAATTTACCGCACAGTTTAGATATGTATAGACCAATTGGATAGGGTGAAAGAGCGGCATTCAGGATATTGCCAAAAAGAAATGCTGGCTTCTTATGTGGTACTCCCCTTGATTTCCAGTAGTTAAATTTATGCTTGCAATGCAAGTACAGAAGTATTACAATACACGCAAAGACCACCCCCAAAATCGCCAAAGTAGCCATACTATTGTTAATACTGCTAAGGTGCTAAGGTTGTCTTTCACTTAATCTATTTGTGGTAGTGTCTTGCTTTAGAACTCACGAGCCTCGGAATGCGTTGCTTTATAATTTGCACTATGATTAACTGGCTTTGCACAACTATTATTCAAATGAAGCACTTACCAGGTAGTACGTTGCTCCGTTGTTAAATACAATTTATTATTATTGTGGTATAGTACATGTACACATGGCTTAACAAGTCTTGCTCTGTACGATAATCCCAAATCCAAGCAGAGTTCAATGGTTATCCAAATCGTATAGATAAGTATGTGTATATAAAAACTATTATTGGTAATCAGGGAAAGTTTCGCAAAAACCGCAGTCTCGTCCACAATTGGTAAACGTCTCGATATTGTCACCTTTCACCTTCAATTAGATCAGTAACAGAAACATCGGGCTGTGCTTTTTGCATGTTCACTGACTTTTTACTGCAACGACTTAATTACAGATACCTATTGAAAGTTTCGCAACTTCACGAACGTAGACCCTGGACCCTTGAGTAACCAATGGGCCTATCATTGTGCGGTAGGGGTCTCAAAAATTGTGTGGGGGTATTCAAAAGCGCTGTGTGCTACTCTCCAAATACGCGAGGGGAGTTCAAATAGCTTCCAACTTAATTAGTAAAGCTGCCGTTGGCGCACACACGGGCGTTTAACCATTAAGTATTACATAAACCATCAGTTTGTTTTGATAAGGAGCACGTGGTAGAGTATGGACTCTTGCTAGAAAATATAATCGTGGTATTGATTTATGTAATTTGTTATTATTGAATTATTGGTAAATACTGTTTATCTTGTCTAATACGTAAGCCTTGTGAGGATGGATTAGAAAGTGCTGCGGAGAATCTGGCGCAATGGGAAACTCCAGGGTCAAGTGACGAAGGTAATGAAGAAGAGGGTACTGAAGGGGAAAAATATAATGAAGAGTAAGAGGAATATTAGTTGCTTGTTGGTCAATTTTGTGTAGTTAGAAGGGGACATTGATAATGGACAGTCGAGGATTTAGTTTTTTTATCATTATCGTACTCGTACACCTTCACTGCTTTCCTGCTTTACTAGTCAAACATCGTCAACTATATGACTATTTTCATACGGTATGCGACAACTGGTTGATGGCGATCGGCAGCAATTCCTGTGACACGTAACGATAATTGGAACGTGTAAACAACAAAAGTCATTTATCGCTGTCACTCCTATTTCCTGTATCATAATAGTAGGTATCATTTTTTGGGTTCATTTCGCAATTCATTCAATATTGCTTGTTGAAGAAATGCCCCTTTTCTTCAGTAACCACTTCCGGCTCCAGGTTCTTCTTCGACATTTTCAGTTTCATCGCTAAACAAAGTATATAAATAACCGACCACAACAGCACTTCCTCCTCGCCGAAAACCGGTTTAACGAAAACAGTAGGTACTGTACAGTGTGGTCCAATTTCGATGGCATTAAATGGGAAACTTTCTTATTACCGCAAATAAATGAAAACGACTTAGGTACTAGTGACCTCTCTTTTCATGGTTATTTCAATACCGTTACCAGAAGTAAGCTATCGTCTTTTGTTTTTTCTCCAAAGAGAAAAACTGAAAAATAACCGAGTCATTCAATTTGCTGTAACTCCTTTATTTTTTAAGCTAGAACACAAAAATTGATCATTATTCATGTACTTTTTAACGTAGAAATAAATGCCGCTAGTTGTTTGTTTGTGGCCCTTTTAGTAACTGCGCTGTAACTGGAAGTTGATTTTTTTAAGTAGAAATTATAGTTGGCCATGGTTTTAAAAAATTGCTTGTTTATTCGTTAGCAAGACGGTGTCGCAGCTCATAATGCGTTAATTGTTAGAGATGATCTGGTAGCTAATAATTAGATGGGGACGCAGGGACCAATAAACGTTTACCCGACTTAAACCCAATAGATTTCTTTTTGTGGGGTTTTTTGAAAATCAAAAATTATAAATATCGTTCTACAACTGAGGAAGAATTAGGTACAGGCAAATGTAGAGGGAGTTTAAAGCAGTTCAACCACTACAAATCCTGAATGCAGCAAGATCTTTGAGAATATGTAAAAAAATTGGGGTAGTAGACGTTTACCTAATCATCGCACAAAATCTGTCGTAATCTCTCGATCTATAACAGTTAACAGTTAATGCATTCGAGCGACACATTTAACAGGAAAATATTTCGTTGGCGAGTTGTCGCAGTGGCGAATTGTCCGTTGGCGAGTCGCCCTTGGGGAGTTGACCGTGTCCCTTTTTATGCATATCTGCAGTAACGCTAGATTTATCACAGAACGATTTCTTTTGTTTGCCCAATATGTACTTCTTATTGGCGCATAGTTTGAATTTAGTTGAGCAAAGGTATAAATGGAGACATTGCCGATTGTTTTGCCATCGTTTTGTGTAAAGAATTTCACACTAATTTGGAAAAAGGTTTGACTCATACACCGCTCGCTTAATTTAATCAAATCGTTAATTCCAGCATCTTACAAGTCGCTTTGTTTTAAAACGTATTGCAAATAACGTAAAGTAATAACTACTAGAACACTAAGAAACAGAAGTGACATCAAATGAAACTGAAAGTTCCACCAGTGCTGGAATAATGTGAGCTACCTTCCAATTGATCTTCTCAATGACAACTTTGAGAGCAGCGTCAGCAGCAGCAGATATTATAAGGAGGGGGGGGGGGGTTATTATTTGGTCTTACCTCGCTTTACAAGTTCCTTTCGTTTATTTAATGTGACTTTTCTGTAGTTTTCGCAGACCCCAAAAGTATTTTTAACGGTGTGCAAACGTTAAAATGGACCGTTCCGTAATTTGTTTGTGCTATTTTACGAGATTGTGATTTAAAAAATGATGCGTAGTTCGTCTTTTGATTCGTATTGTCGTTGAGTGAAAAATCCCCGTTCACTCAACGGTATTGTTCAAACTGCTGAGGCAGTGAATTATGTCGTGAAAGATTCCAGTGTTTGCTTTGTAGAGGAATAAACTTCAACGACGCCTGGCAAAAAATTAGACTAGAGCAATAAACAATTTGTCTTGACTATGGCTGCCTATTTTCGTGACGATTAAGCCAATGGATTTCCTCTTCGCCCGCTGAATTGCACTGAAGGGGTAAATTTGCTTTTTTTACAGTTATAAGCTAGTGCCACACTACTTCATCTACTTCAACCCGTGGCGGCTTGGTTGGGAAATTCAGTCCGCACGGTGCGTAACGTGTTGAGGTAAGTCGGTGAGGCTGCCGTCCTTCCGGAGCCAGTGTCCCATGCCAAACCAGAACCAATGTGCGTTGTCAAAGCACAGCAGCGTCCGACGTCCAGAATCAGGACCTGCCGCTGTACAACGGAACAGAACCGAGTCGTATTTAATCGTTTATTTTACAGCAGATATTAAATTGACATTTTCATTGGTTTGAGTTAGTAGGCTAAGTCGCTCTTTAACCCTATGAGTAGATAAAGTGATCACATTCCTTTATAGTCTAATATACGAGAATAAATAAATATTATTCGTTTTCTTCGTTCACAACCTACGATTCAAAATAGAGCTACAGTAATAAATAAAATCGCACGTACGATTTTGCTTTCTCCACGCTACCGAATGATGTCATGCCCAATTCGCAGTTGTAACTAAATAGGCCTAATTCAAATAACTGGATGTGATCCAAATTCCTGAAATCCGGAACAATGCTCTATAGAAATGACGTTCGTAATTATTAGACAAGTTCCCGATTGGTCGTGCAATCGATCTCATATTTTTGAAATGGTATAAAAATTGAACTCTGAGAAATTAAAATAAAAGATAATGGTATCCCATCACAAATTTTAAAATTGGATGATCAAATTAGGTTTTCATTTCCCTAGCTTACAGCATGTGTAATGTTTTCAAGCAAAATGAGAAGCAATCGTTTTAACAATGTCACATCTAACACGGAAGTGGCGTAGACAGCTTCAGCCACTAGGAAACAATGAGAAAATTAATAGTTTAATAGTTTCCTGTAGTATGCATAAACAGGCATTTACAGTTGTCATTATTATCTAATAATATATAAACCATAACAAAAAATCTAACAACACAATAAATAATAGTTAGTATAAAAAATAAATTACAAACGATATAATAATTAAAATAGCTGCAAAATAATACAAGCAACAAATAGTAGAACCATTTGTAAATGGTCGTGAGAGAATACAAACTCATAAACAAATCGCTACCTATAATATACAGGATGGGCTTTATTCGATGGTTTAAGCATCTCTGGTACTAGGAGATGTAAAGAGAGACGAATGTAATACGCGTTTTGTCTTTTTGATAACGGAAAACATCTCTTTGATGTCTACAGATATATCCACCTAGCTCATGTGCTTAATAACCCCATTGAATTTTTCACGTCAATTATGGTCTTTGAGTTTTTTTGTAATAGAAACCATAGCCATTTATACATTTATTAAAGGGGCCCTTTTACTACGATTCGAACGATATATCAAGTAGAGAAATTGCGCCTTTCTTCTTTTTTTTGCATCTGTCATCTTGGTTCTAAAAACGAAAATGAGAAACAGTGTTAATTCAAATAAATGAAGAAGTATCCCCTTAAAAAAACACGCCTTTCAGGTTTGTCTTCAAAATGGAGTACGGAAAATATCATCTCTTCATTTCCAATAGTTGCCTAAAACGTCGTTGCTAACATACAGTGTTGTCTACATATAGCTTATATACTAAATTTTTATGCACGTCATGTGAACGCCATTTTTCGCAGTCCTTACAGGAATCCGTGAGAATTCAAGGGGTTCTTTAGCTAGCGAATTTCTCACCATCTTAAAATTCTTAACCATATGAATTATACCCAACTTTGTGCTTAATAAGCCAAATCTTTCACCTGAAACATAAGCATTGAATACCTTCAATGTAACTCAGAAATGTCATAGGACCTATACAGAGCCGTGGTCCTTCTCCAAAGGGTAAATAGGTGTAGTTTTCAATCTTGTGAAGGTTTTCGGCACTGAATCTCTCAGGATCGAACTTTTCTGGATTTGGAAAGTACTTTGGATTCAGGTGTAAGGCATCTTGAGAAATAAGTACGGGTGTACCTTTCTCGATCAGCATTTCGGTTCCTTCCACTTTGTAATCTTCGCCGCATTCGCGGGTGATAAACGGTGTCAGCGGGTATTTGCGCATAACTTCTGTATTAAAACAAAATAAAGTGAACAATTTTTAATAAGCAACATGAATGTTGTCCTTACCACACACAACCATGTGTAGGTATTTCATATCCTGTACGGCTTCATACGTTAAACCGTCGTGTTTTCCTATTACTGTATGAATTTCGTCTCTGAGTTTGTCTTGAGCGTTTGGGTTAAAGCATAGTTCGTGCAGTGCAAAAGAGATTGTAGAACTGGTTGTCTCATGTCCTGCTCCAAAGAAAACTAGTGCTTGAGCTGTTAGAATGTTCTCATCTAAAAAATAGTTCCATGTAAAAAATGTAGGTAATCTAAAAAGTTACCGAATTTGAAGTCACTCTCTTCGTAGTCTTGGTTTTTAATTTCAATTAAAATATCCGCTAAATCGTTTCGCTTTACTTTACTGGCCTCACGTTGACTAATCACATTCTTAAACACGTTGCGAAAAAATCTATCTACTTCCTCAGTAATAAATCGATATTTAAAAAACTTTACTATCGACGGCGCAAGGAAGTAAGAGGCTGTTTTTAGAGACTGCAATACTGTTCTGGGAAATATCATTCTACCATACCTCAAGAGCTCGTTGTCTCCGTCCGAAAATGAATTCGCATCCACTCCAAACGCGCATGTAGCAATAACATCCGTCGTGTACATGTTGGAAACATGCTTCATCTCAATATCCTGTCCAACCACCCCCGACAAGTATTTTTCTAAATTTTTTCCACATTCTGTCATAAGCGGCATCATCATTTTAATTTTGCCCGACGTGAATGCCGGGGAAATCTGCTTCCTGAGTGTTTTCCACTGAGGAGTTTTCATGCCGAGTAACGAGTAGGCCAAGTTCGGTTCAACTTTTGGGTCGATGTAAATGTATCGGTTTGAAAACACGTGAAAATCTTTGATGAGAACATTTTTCACAATCTTCGGATCCATTATAATCAGGAACGGTTTCGTTAATGCGTAAAAGCCGAAGAACGGTCCGTCGACTTTTAAGCAGAGTTTTCCAATGTACTGTCCCACTGGTTCGCCCGAGATGAATACGTCTAAGATGTTTCCAAATGGGAAACTTGGTGGTTTGTGTGGAACGCCTTTTAACTTAAAATAATTGAATTTGTATTTACAGTAAAGATAAAATGCCAAAAATGCGGATAAACCAAATAATAGAACGTCCTTTAGGGTTATCATATTCCAAAATATTGCACAATTTTTCTAGTTTTAATAGCGCACACCGCGATATCAATCCACCACTTACTGCAGGCGTATGTTCTTGGCACTCACTTATTTATAGAACGTACTTAATGTAAGATTACAACTAGTACTTAACGTAATTCCTAATAATGTGCAGTGACTGGCAGTTTTGTTACAATGATATTTACTAAAATTACAGCATTTATTACTACAGAATGTGTCTTCAAAAAAAGTGTTTGGGATGGGCTGTTGATCAAATCAACGTCTGATATTTCATTAGCATTTCACACTGTTGAAGAGCAAGTATGTTAAACTAATGGAGCGCAAACCTTCCCACACTATATTTTCATCACAATTACTCAATTACGCTAACACTCTAATTATAATTAATTAATAATATAATTACTTTTATTGCCGAAGTTGAAAATATCTGCCAATAATCTGCAATCAGATCAGAAAAATAAAAACAGAGCGAAAGAGGGGGGGCTTGAACAGAATGGCATATAAATTGCGAGAATAAAATTAACGTTTGACACGTGGAACAACTCGAATACTATAAATCGTACTTAATACTTTTCTACGTTCACTTTGGGAAAATGTAACAAAGTCACCTTGAGATAAGCACACGGTAAGCTCAATCAAAGTAGAGGTGGGTCAGGGTGAATATCGGGGTTCTTATACACTAGCAAAAATAAGCAAAAAATAACCTCTAGTAGTAGTAAACCGGATAGGAGCCGCTTAATCTGTAGTCGCTTTCAAAAAAGAGGAGGTAGGGACTTACCAAAAGGGGAAACAAGGCTGACTAAGAGATCCTTGTTCTTGTCTTGAAAAGCTAAAGAAAAATTGACGTCACAATCGAGGGTAATTTAATCAATGATCTCAAGAACATTAGAAGTGGTCACTGTAATATACAAGTCTACAATGTCAATATTTGAATTTAAATTAATTTCTAGTGAAAAGAGGATCAACACTTATTTTTTCGATTTTAATAACCCTTATGGACATTTCATGCCGTAACGAGAACACAAACATGAAATAATTTTCAATTTCTGATCAAATGACAAAGGCAGTAAGTGGTGTAGTTCCGGAGCCTTTGTGACTCAGGCAGACAGACACACAGGCAGACAGACAGACATCAAGGTGCACTTTTTTTTAAGTGAAAGTGGCCGTCTTAAGAAAAATATTGCTTAATGTAACATACCTCGTATTGTTCAAATTCAAAACAGATCCGTAACAACGTTGCAATGGAGCCACAGACATCAATGAGAAAGAGAAACACCTCCCAAGATAATAATGGTAGAGCCAGAACACTAAAGTCCTTTACAGGTAGACGCGAAGTCAGAAAAGTAATAGCGTACCAAGAATAACGATGCAAAGTGAAGTATTAAGCTCCCGCTCGTGTCATAAATTGATATGAATAATAATTAAATCAATCCATTTCAAGACTGTTACACATTTATTGTCAGTTGAAAAGAAATATTTCACGTAACTAAATTTACGTTACCTATCTTAGCTCATCATGAAGTAAAGTCAACGTTGAATTTGCTGAGCGTGCAGGTTTTGAATTGAGGGGGATCCTTAACAGTCTTGCGGGATTGGTAGCACAAAAGACACTAACCAATTAAAAATTTAGACGTCGCCATTTTGAAGGTAATTCGCTTATTTCCAACAAATAGTAGTACCATGAGTTTCCATATGGTCGATACCTATAATATACAGGACGAGCCTTATTCGACGTGCAGCACATTTCCGAAACTAGTAGTATAACGACAGACAAACTGAATGCGCGTTTTGTCTTTTGCAAAACGTGCACGACCTACATCCCTTTCGATGTCTGTTCCTCTTTCATGTGCTCAATAACACAATCGAATTTCACGTCAATTATGAACTAACGTTTCGTAGTTTTGTAATAGAGTCCATACCCCATAGCCTTTTGATATAGTTATTCTGTTGCCATACATACTCTTGAAAATAGTCATGTAGAAAAAATTAATTAGATTGCTTTGAAAGTTTAGAGATTGGTGAAAACAAACGCTTCCTAATGAATAATGATGAAGGAGGTCGTTTAGGCCAATGGGAGCTCGTAAGCCTTCACTTTCACTTGTAATTGAGCATAAATAAGGTCGTATTTCTATTTGATTGTTCAGTTGTTCCCTGATGATGAGCGCCTTGCCTTGCTGTTTTGATGAAGGTATTATTGTAGCTTATTGGTGTTTTTGTTTTACTTTTGCAAGTTCAACAGGCACAAGTAGTTCCAGTACTTCCAGGCATTCTGTTGGTATTAGTAGGAAAATTGAACCTTCATTTTTTCATTTTTGAAATGCTTAAATGGTTTTTGTCATTTATCATTTCCGTTCTAAATATGAAATTTAGGAAAAAAAATATTTATTTATATACATGTCAAAGTATGGAGCCCCTTATACATATACATATGCCTTCAAAATAAGAGCCCTGTATAATAACAAAGCTATATATCTCCACTTCAGAGACATTCAAGAAATATATTTGTGAGATATCCATTGATGTGCATCTTTTTTGCAAGAGCAAATCATATACATGTATCTAAAAATGCAATACATTCACAATAAGTGGTAACTTATATTAAATTTTTATGCACGTCATGTGAACGCCATTTTTCGCTGTCGTTGTAGGAATCGGTGAGAATCCAAGAAATTCCTCAGTTTGCGAATTTCTGACCATCTTAAAATTCTTAACCATATGAATTACACCCAATTTTGTACTTACTAAAGCAAACCGATCACCTAAAACATAAGAATAAATATCGTCTCATATATCTCAAAAATGTAATAGAACCTATACAAAATCGGGGCCCCTCTCCAAAGGGTAAATAGGTGTAGTTTTCAATTTTGTGGAGGTTTTCGGCCCTGAATCTCTCAGGATCGAACTTTTGCGGATTTGGAAAGTACTTTGGATTCAGGTGTAAGGCATCTTGAGAAATAAGAACCGGTGTACCTTTCTCGATTAGCATTTCAGTTCCTTCCACTTTGTAATCTTCGCCGCATTCGCGGGTGATAAACGGTGTCAGCGGGTATTTCCGCAGGGTTTCTGTAGTAAAACGTAATAATGTGAAAGGGGATTAGCAATTCTAAAAAATAAAATTATGGTTGTTCTCACCAGAAATAACCATGTGTAAGTATTTCATATCCTGTACAGCTTCATACGTTAAACCTCCGTGTTCTCCTATGACTGTATGAATTTCGTCCCTAAGCTTCTCTTGAACGTTTGGGTTCAAGCATAGTTCGTGCAGTGCAAATGAGATTGTAGCGCCGGTACTCTCAAGTCCTGCTCCAAAGAAAATTAGTGCTTGAGCTGTTAAAAAGTTCTCATCTAAAAAACACTTTTATGCAAAACATTTATACGTAGGCAATGTAAAAGTTACCGAATTTGTAGTAAGTCTCTTCGTAGCCTTGGTTTTTCATTTCAATTAAAAGATCCGCTAAATCGTTTCGCTTTACTTTATTTGCCTCACGTTGACTAATCACATTCCTAAACACGTTCCGAAAAAAGGCGTCCACTTCCTCTTTAATAAATCGATATTTTAAAAACTTGACTATCGACGGCGCAAGAAAGTAGGACGATGCTTTTATAGAGTGCAGTATTGTTTTGGGAAATATCATTCTTCCATGCCGCAAGAGCTCGTTGTCTACGTCTGTAAAGGAATTCGCAACCACTCCAAACGCGCAGGTAGCAATAACATCCGTCGTGTACCTGTTAGAAACATCATTCATCTCAAGATCCTGTCCAACCATTCCAGACAAGTATTTTTCTAAATTTTTTCCACATTCTGCCATAAGCGGCATCATCATTTTAATTTTTCCCGACGTGAATGCCGGGGAAAGCTGCTTTCTGAGTGTTCTCCATTGAGGAGTTTTCATACCGAGTAACGAGTAGGCCAAGAACGGTTCAACTGTTGGGTCGATGTGAACGTGTCGGTTTGAAAACACGTGAAAGTCTTTGACGAGAACATTTTTCACAATCTTCGGATCCTTTATAATCAGGAACGGTTTCGTTAAAGCGTAAAAGCCGAAGAATGGTCCCTCGGCGTTCAGGCAGAGTTTTCCAATGTACTGTCCCACTGGTTCACCCGATCTCAATAGGTCTAAGATGTTTCCAAATGGGAATGTTGGCGGTTTGTGTGGAACGCCCTTTATTGTGAAATAATTGAATTTGTGTCTACAGTAAAAATACAACGCCAAAATTGCCGATAAACAAAATAACACGGCGTCCATTAGTGTCAACATGTTCCAAAATATCGCAGTTTTACTAGTTTTAGTAACACCCTCGCCGAGCTCCACTTACTGAACTATGTTCTTGTAACTCACTTATAGACCGTACTAGTAGATAGCTAACGTAATTCCTGATAACGCACAGTAACTGCAACTATTGTCAATAATATTTACCAAAAAAAGTACTGAACTGTTTTCGAGAGAAGAATGAACTGTATAATATGAAAGTACAAATCATAGTTGGATGTATATTACAAAATTTGCTTTTTTGCAGCGATAAACTTTAAATTAGTTTATTACTACTGTAACTATTAATAATATCGATAATGTTATTGTTGCAAATACATTGATAACGTTGACCAAAACATTTTTTTAAGGGGATAACGTAATGTGTCAAGTTTCATCCAATTAGGTACTTTTAACTACGTCTACTATTTGAAGACTAAATAGAGTAGAATTAAGCAATACGTTGTGATTTAGATTACTTATGTATTACAAGACGCACATTAATAATTATAATCGTGTAACGAAATATCTTAAATAAGTAAATAAACAACAGTAAATTGAAAAGAGGGCACCATAACATTAGACTACAACCAGTATACAGGGTGTTTTATGAGGAATGGACACGTTAATATGTTATAGATTTGTTCACTTTAAGCAGAAGGGCCTAAAAACGTGCGCAATTATCAAAGGTGCCTGATATATAATCAGTTAATAGATAAACTGATATCAAGTGACGCAATACCTAAACCAAACTATTGCGGAACGGTGGATTGATCGTGGGGGTCGTATCAGTTGGCGAGCTCGGTAACCTAACCTTAATTCCTTAAATTCCGGATTTTGGGGATGGCTGAAAAGCGATGTTTATCAAGTATCAGTTAACATCAGTTGTTTATTGCATAACTCTGTTAACAATTTTCTTTCGCTTTAGTTAAAAAAAGATCTATCATTATAATTATTTTTGTTCCACTTTTGTTAATTTTTCTATATTTCTGTGCGGCTTTTATTGAACAATATTTAAGTTTGTCCTGTATTTAGACTACATAGTCTGTTTGGACAATAAATTATTATTTTTATTTTGTTGTTTAAACTCACTCATGGTGGTATGCTTCACATGAGACGGGTCATAACCAAGTCATCATGTGGTATAGTGTAGTGATGTTTAGTGTCATTGATTAAGAAACTTTCTGACCATATTTGCGGTGTTTAGTAGTATGGCCTTCTGTATGGTTGTGTGTATTGGCGTGCTGAGTTGTAGTGCTTGTAAGTGATGTGTAAATGTTTATTATGGTCGGTGTTTCTTGTGAGAACTCAGGTCTAGCCTGGTTAACTAATCGCACGGATTAAAATCAAGTAACGATTTTCTATGTCTGTGTCTGGTGAAGATATGTAGGATCCTAAAAAAAAATCACACACGTACATTGGAAATCTAGGGATAGTATGTAATTCATACTTACCAACATAGCTAGGTATTGATGGGCACAATAGCCAACGCTATCAGGAAAGAGGAAAACAAAACAAAACAAAAAAAAATCATTATAATAATTCCTGTAATTTTATTAGATGGATTTTATTGTGTAAGTGTTTCTTTGGATTTGCGTTTGGGTTGAATACGAGTGGGTTGTGATAACGTGGTGTGTTTCTGTGAAGAAGGAGTTATGTGTTTTTTAACTGTGCTAGGACGTGTAACTTTATTGGGTGGATATATAAAACATGTGCTTATCACTCGGTATTGCAGGAGAAGACGATACAGCGAAAACGGTCAAATGAGAGATGGGAATAGAACGTGTACCTACCTAATACTAACAGAATAGCAATCAAAACCGAGACCATGATGCATGATAATCCAGTAACCCTAAAAACGTTGCTCTAAACAGGTTCAAAGTCTTAATCTATGTCGTCGAACAGTATGGTTACAGCGACCCCGGCGGTAAAGGTCGAAGACGCCAAAAGATGATGACTTTCGTGAAGATTAAATAAATACCGTTGTTAGATATTCTTTCATTGTTATCCCATTCTTCAGGGTTAGGCTTCCTGATGTAGTCGTGGCAACATTCGTTTCCAGCCTCCGCTACCCTGGCGACCAGTGCAAAAACATTAACATAAATATCTTACTCGTATCCAAGCGCGAACGAATTGTTTTAACTTGTAAAGAGAGCATTCGGGTAGGTGGTCAACCATACTCGTTAACAGAGGAAGGATGTAGAAATGGTGAACTTAAACCAGCAGCCTACTTAGTAAAACAAGTTAAAAGTCATTATGCAAACATAAATGACGAGAGCGTGTTTTCCTCTAAATAAATAAATTAATTAATTCTAGAACAGTTAAAAAATACCGATAGGCACGAGATCCTTATCCCATTCTCTTTGAAATGAGCCGCCTATCTTGGAAGTTCATACAGTTTATTGAAAAATAGTAGAGCGTATACAAAAATATAAACAAATTGTGAAACTGGTGTTAGATTTGCTTTTATTCCAAGTGTCTATGTATTAATTTTCATTTAAATGCTTTCCCAAATAAGAAAGTTGACATTTCGCATGCACAAAACCAAATTTTGCAATTGCTGTTAGATTTGTCTTTATTCCAAATGACATAGTCGTGAAAAACATGCCGAAATCTTATATTGTCCAACTTTGAGGCACTACCTTTTAGAGAAGAGCGGCGCTAATTTGTACCATAAGAGAAACCATCGATTGCAGAAAACGCTATAATTAAAGTAAAGTAATCTTTTTGATTTGTATAAAAAATAACGATCAGTTCTTTAAGAAAATGCATTAATTGAATATTAGATGAATCGAACTGTGTGGTGTATTTAATAACTATGACTGAGTTCTTCTAGGAAGACTCTTTGTTGTTTTCAATCTTTCTTTTGAAATGTTTTTTTCAAATGAAAAAATGAGAATATTCCAATAAATGAATTCACTTTTGCGACCTATAAAGTGTAATTTTTGTGCGTGTAAGTTTTGTGATTATATTCAATCATTACATTTAAAACGGTAATGATTATCTGCAGTCAAATTTCATCGCTAAGTTTTAATTTTCAGGTTTAGAGTAATTTACAATATCTTTCTACCAAATTTCATGCTGTGATATCTCTTAAAACTTAGATTTTTACTCAGTCCGATCTTTTTGCCCTCTCTGTATACACAATTTCCCTAATTTGTGGTGAATGTTGATTTACGCTGCCAATGTCGATTTTACTAAAAAATATTACGTCTCCTAAGCCTAACACTTTTGCTTTTTCTTGCGCGAATTTTTTATTTCTTTTTAGGAGGACTTCTGGGAGAAAAGATCAGGTCTTAAAATTGTTGTGTATAGGTTTTCCACTCACTAAAAGTTTACTGAGCTGATCAAGTTAGGTGTACTATTATTAGTCTCCCTAGCTCACAGCATAATAACGTAGTATAATTATTATGATAATATGTTTTGTTTTGTCGTAAAAGAAACCATAGTCCACTATAAATGTATGAAAGAGTATACCACGATTCGATATAGTTACTCCATTGGTATTAGTAGAGAAATTGTGTCTTTCTTCTTTTCATTTTTTAAATGTTCATGCAGTAAGCCTTTTTTTGCACCTATCACTTCCGTTCTAAATACGAAAATGAGTAAAATGTTTATTTACATAATAACCAAGCATGATGGGGCCTCTTGAATAAACATTGCCTTCAAAATGAGATCTTATATGTGCACGAAAAAGTCAGTTAAGGTACCTACATAATAACAGGGCTATTATACAATTATACATATCCATAAAAACATCCAAGAAGTATATTTGTGTGTCTCCTCTTCGTTGTGCAAGAGAAACAAAGGACGGTTCCAAGTGAGTATAAAAATCCCCCAATACTTGCACAATTATAAATTAATCAATAATCATCTCTCCGTTTCCTAAATTTGTTCTTAGGTTACTGTATGTCTACAATTAGCTTATACTAAATTTTTATGCACGTCATGTGTACGCCATTTTTCGCAGTCCTTAAAGGAATCCGTGAGAATTTAAGCAATTCCTCACTTTGCGAGTTTCCCACCATCTTAAAATTCTTAACCATATGAATTATACCCAACTTTGTACTTAATAAAGCAAACCTTTCACCTAAAACATAAGAATAAATATCGCGTAATATAACTCAAACATTTCGTAGAACCTATACAAAGCCGTGGACCATCTCCAAAGGGTAAATAGGTGTAGTTTTCAATCTTACGGATGTTTTCGGCACTGAATCTCTCGGGATCGAATTTTTCTGGATTTGGAAAGTACTTCGGATTCAGGTGTAAGGCATCTTGAGAAATAAGTACGGGTGTACCTTTCTCAATTAGCATTTCGGTTCCTTCCACCTTGTAATCTTCGCCGCATTCGCGGTTGATAAACGGAGTCAGCGGGTATTTGCGAAGGGTTTCTGTAGTAAAACGTAGAGTGGAAGGGGATTGGTTTTAAAACAATTTCAATGTTTTCCTTACCAGAAACAACCATGTGTAGGTATTTCATATCCTGAACGGCTTCATACGTTAATAAACCATCGTGTTTTCCTATTACTGTATGAATTTCGTCCCTGAGCTTGTCTTGAGTGCTTGGGTTAAAGCATAATTCGTGCAGGGCAAATGAGATTGTAGAACTGGTAGTCTCATGCCCTGCTCCAAAGAAAATGAGTGCTTGAGCTGTTAGAATGTTCTCATCTAGAAAACATTACATGCAAAAAATTTAAACGTAGGCAATGTAAAAAGTTACCGAATTTGAAGTCACTCTCTTCGTAGTCTTGGTTTTTAATCTCAATTAAAATATCCGCTAAATCGTTTCGTTTTACTTTACTGGCCTCACGTTGGCTAATCACATTCCTGAACACGTTGCGAAAAAATCTATCCACTTCCTCATTAATAAAACGATATTTGAAAAACTTTACTATCGAAGGCGCAAGGAAGTAGGATGCCGTCTTTAGAGATTGTAGTGCTGTTTTGGGAAATATCATTCTACCATACCTCAAGAGCTCGTTATCTCCGTCTGAAAATGAATTCGCATCCACCCCAAACGCGCATGTAGCAATGACATCAGTCGTGTACATGTTAGCAACATGCTTCATCTCAATATCCTGTCCAACCACCCCTGACAGGTATTTTTCTAAATTTTTTCCACATTCTGCCATAAGCGGCATCATCATTTTAATTTTTCCCGACGTGAATACCGGGGAAATTTGCTTTCTTAGCGTTTTCCATTGAGGAGTTTTCATACCGAGCAACGAGTAGGCCAAGATCGGTTCAACATTTGGGTCGACGTGAACGTGTCGGTTTGAAAACACGTGAAAGTCCTTGATGAGAATATTTTTCACAATCTTCGGATCCTTTATAATCAGAAAGGGTTTCGTTAAAGCGTAAAAGCCGAAGAACTGTCCCTCGGATTTCAAGCAAAGTTTTCCAATGTACTGGCCCACTGGTTCACCCGACATGAACACATCTAGGATGTTTCCAAATGGGAAAGTTGGCTGTTCGTGTGGAACTCCTTTTAACTTAAAATAATTAAATTTGTATTTACAGTAAAAATATAACGCCAAAAATGCGGATAAGCAAAATAACACGATGTCCATTAGGGTCATCATGTTGCAAAATATCGCACAATTTTACTAGTTTTAATAACGCACTCGTCGATCTAGTCTACCACTTACTGCACGTATGTTCTTGTCACTCACTTATTTATAGAACGTACTTATTTACGATTAGAACTAGTACTAACGTAATTCCTGATAATGTGTAGTGACTGGCACTTTTGTTGCAACGATATTTACTAAAATTGAAGCATAGCGACAGATTGGGTCTTCAGAAAAGTGTTTGCCATGAAAGCAACGTTTGATGGAGTAGTTTCTGACCAAGCATTTGATACTATTGAAACGCTTTGTGTTATATACGTGTACTATATACTATATTAAACAAGTGCCAATGGAGAGCAATTAGACTAACACTTATGATATTATACGTGAGGTAGCTCTCTAAATTACTATTTCCGAGTTGAGAAAAGGTCCACTCGCTGGGATGTCCTATTTGGGATGTAGTTAAATGAAATTTGATTCGTCTTTCACAAATTCATGGGTGATTTCTAAAAAAACAAAAATATTTCACAGAAATTCAAAAAAAATTGTCAATTCAGTCTGCTTAATAGCATTTTCTTACCGCACCAAAACTGAAACTGAGAAATTTGGGAAAGACAAATCAAATCTCATTTTACATAGATAGACACAAATTACAAAATTAGCTTTTCTTCGGCGTATTTGTACTGATGATAAACAAACAAGTAGAGCATCACTGCTCTAGCTATATAAATAATACCGATAACACAGATTACCCCGCACTAAGGATACCTATTACCTAATCTGTTGTCGCAAATACAACGATAACGTTGAACAAAATATGTTCTTTTTTGGATAACGTAATGTAACGTTTACTTCACTTATATATTTACTTTATTAATGTAATGGACTATAAGCGTTCATCCTTTTCAAGAAACATTCAAACGTTAAGCGCGTCTAATATATGTCGTACAAATTTCATTCAATTGGACTTTTAACCACGTCTACAATGGATACTAGTGACACCTTTTCCATAGGTAAACAAACTAACAAGAAAAAAGGCAATTGCTATATAACAAACTGATTGAGATTATCTCACCAAGGAAAATCTTATAGTAACAAAGAAGTTACATAGATATGAAAAACAAGTCCCACTAAAGAGAATTTAACCAAATCCCTTTTAGTCCAGGAAACGAAACTTAAAATAGTATAAAACCTGGCAATTTTTTGAAAATGCGTCGATTTGCGTGAAAATTTGGGATTAAGTTCAACTTACCCTCCACTTCAAAATCTATATTATACTAATGGGCGCTCTTCATTTTTTAGGAGTGAAAACTATCCCTTTTTGCCAAAACTCAAGCTTGAGCTTGAGGTGAGAACAATTTGGCACAGATGAGCTGAGTACTAACTGTTACAGGCTATGGAACATTCTTTCAGAATATTTCCACCCTTAAAAGTCAACCGTTATTGTGGTTTAATAAAAAAAACTATTTACACTCAAAAAGTTAATAATTTATTATTGACAACAGTTGTTCAGTATGATTTCGAACAAAGTATGGCGTTCAACCTCCTGATAGATGGGGTATCAAACGTTGATAGAAACATTAAACTGTTCATAGAGAAAGAGTGTTTGTGTATTTATACAAAGGGAACGTTCCGGGCAGCCGCGCACGTGTAATCGTATCGATATATCTCAAGTGGGATCCTTTTGAACATCTGTGAACCTATTTTCTAGTGGAAAAAAACTTCATTTGAATGTAACCCATGATTCTATTTTGTTTGTTTAATTTAATTTAGATTTTCAAAGTGGTGATAATCATTTTGAATAGTATGGAATGGATGTATAAATATATATGTAAGTTATAATGTAGTGCTCGCATATAAATGGCCGTTTGCACCGACAAATTTAAGTGGAGCTTAGCTTAAGCGTAATAGCTTAAAATCCATGGCAACGATTATTGAGACAATGGTTGCCACGGATTTTAAGCTACGCTTAAATTTTTCGGTGCAAACGGGCATTAAACATCTATATCTCACTTAATTTTTGTCGTACAGAAAATTGCCAGTGAGAAAAATGTTTGGAATTAAAAAAGCTACAATTGGAAGCTGTAGCATTTTTTACGTATCTCCAGTTGTTTTGTAGCTATTTTGAAGGGAAGGACGTTTTTCACAAAATTGCAGAAATTCGTTATTCACTTTTAGCTTCAATTATTTCAAAATTAATTTTTCTAAACTGGTCGCGCTTCTAGAATGTATTAATAATACGTAATTAAAGAAAACTGGAAATGGGGAGGGACTAATTTTAATTAGGGGGTTGCTTGTGCTGATATTTTTGCTGAAAAAAGTACGGATCTACCTTATTTTCATCGTAACTCACTTACCTTTTATGCTAGTTTGTTTTAAAAAAAAAGAAGAAAGGTTTTTATTCTGCAAGTTTCCCTCGAAAAATGCATTGTTTTGCCATTATTTGACTGTGAAGGTCTGTAATTTAGCATTTGACGAACAAGAGCTAACACTTAACAAGCCACAACTCGGATCGTATTGGTCATACAGCAATTATTAGTACAACCATTTTCTTTGCTTTTGATAAGCTACGATTTTGTTCTTCACAGTTTTTTTAAATAAAATCCATACTTTTTGAGTTTTTCGCGAATATCCAGTTCTATGAAAAACTCTTACGTATGTACCTTCGGTCGCGTTTAACTGGAGAAGTATTAACTTTCCAAAAAATGCATAGAACACTTTTTCCTTAGATTTAATTTTTTTATCTATTCGTGTGTTAAAATTACAATAAAAAATTGCCACCCCCGAGATGGGGTGACAAACACCTCCAGGGCGAAAGCGCCCTTTGGCATGATATAGATTTTGATCCGTAGGCTATTCCTTATCTACTGTCAAAATTTCAAGTTAATCGATCCCTTTTGAGTCCGAAGTTCTCTACCAAAAGTTAGGAATGCTGGAGTATAGCCGGTGGAAGCTGATAGGTACTGTTGATTTCATGACGCACCGGATGCTCGGGAGGTGTCTTTCCATGCAGTGTCCTTCGGTCGACTGGGTTAGCTTCATGATGGTGAGTGATGGACTGAGCACTTGTTAACCAAGGTACCGTCTGCATGACTTCCCCAGCGAATTGTGGCCATTCTTGCAGACCCACCATGGGGTTTCGTAGCGCAGAATGATTTCATCCACGAGAGTCCTACCAACAAGTACTCGTGTCCTTGCTAACCAAAATCCATCCGAAACCGTCTGTTGTTTTCGGCAACGGTCCTACAGATCCATACCCTTTTTTGGGAACCTGCGACTTCGGAACGGCTTGTTTAGCCTCTTTATCTTCACTATCAGGAGAGTAACCGAGTAAATTGCCACTAACCATCACATATCCGCGTTCTGTCCCATTAGCACCGTTGACAGAGTCATCAGTAGCCTATAAAGCCATTGCTATTTTTGGGAGATCTTAAAAAAATGTCACTATTTTACTCCTCAGAATCGTAAAAGTACGTACCCAAAACTAGTTGCACATTTTATGACTCTCAGCGCCTAGTTTTCTTCTGATGGTAAAGCAATACGGTAAATACCTACACTGAAATGATTAACGCCAAATTTAATTGGTGATGTACTTGCCTCTTTTTTCTTTTTTTTTTGGTGGCGAATTGGATTCCTTTACTTCTAAAGTGAAATATTCCCATTGACCCAATCCTTCCCATTTTGTGAAGGAACAGACGCTTCTGCATGTGAAATTTTTGGCTTGTGGTAGAAGTTCCGAAATTTTGCTCTTCCGGGATCGTTTCTTACTGCTTTTACGAACCCGTTTTACAGTGAACTTCTTATCGATTTGACAAGAAAATGAATAGGGTACAATATTTGACGATGACGAAGATGTGCCCATATACCTAACTTCCTTCAAAATCCAATGAAATAGAAACTTTCATCAAAATAATCTTCGTGGCGGTTTATCCAAATTTTTCTATTTTTCCGCTTCTTGCGACAGTAGTTTTCTGTTAATTTAGTGGCCTCGCGTTGGGCGCCACTTATAACCAATGCGTTTTTAATAATGTTTATTTTCTACACATTGAATTATAGACATGAAAATCATATATCACTACAGAATAACCGAACAAATATCAAAACTTATGCAGCTTATTAGTCCCTAGTTCGAATTTGAGTTCAGGCAGGGATATTTGTAACTATATAGTGGGTAGGGTCGGTCGAGAAACCTAGGCTGAAACCACGTCCACTTAAAAATAAGCAATAAAAGTAAAAAATGCAAACTTATTGCTTTTATTTAGTCTGATAAGACATTGTAATATGAAGAAATTAATATCGTAAGAAGTTTTCGGTTCTGTAATTCGATGGAACAACTTAATGCACCTCAAATCAATTTGACCCATAGACCAACAATCCCATTTCAGTCTTCGACGACTTTGATAATCTTAGATCAATCTAATTGTCAATACACCACGAAAGAGATCCTATCAAAAATTTGTATAGAACAGAAATTAATTCACATAGACAGAAACAGTCAATCTAGTGAATGCGAGGGACAAAAGAAACTCCGTTAGTTTGTGCATCGTTCATGTGGATTGAAACTGAGTGAACGGTCGCGGTTTCCAATCAGTTGCCAAATGTCAGTTTTCAGTCAGTTTTATACAGTTATCCATTTGCCAGCGATCGGAACGCAAATCCATTTACAAACCAAAATTGATTTAATAGGCAAGTAACCAGTATTCCATAAACCCGTGCAATGTGTATTACGCAAATGAGATTGCAGATCAATCCAAAATCCCCTTCTCCATCAATGTAAATAAGGATTACAATATTAACACGGAACTCCCTGTTTGCTTTCAATTAACCGAACCGTATCTTTTTGTTGCAGAAGTAAAGTCGCAGCCGCACTGCTCAACAAACATCTGCAAATAAATGGAATATCAACCGGACTGACGTCGTTAAGGCAGTCGTCGATTGACGTGACAGAGGTGACTAAAGCAGATCCTGGAACCAGCAGCAAAATGAAACGCGAACGTAAGGCGGCAAGAACGTTAGGAATAATTGTATCTGCGTTTTTGGCTTGTTGGCTTCCGTTCTTTTTATGGTAAGCGTTTTTTTTCTTTAAAATGTTGCAATCGCATACATATTGGCCTAAACGACGCCCATTTACGATCATCTTATGTGTATCAGTAGGTGGTATAACGTCGAGCTGATCGAAATGGAATGACTGAATACGTTTGCTATATGCAAAACGCGCTAAAAGACATTCCGAAGTGTGTAGTAATGCAAAATCGACAGATTTTAAACAAATACGTAATCCTAAATCAATAATTCTGTGTAGCCACATTTAAATAATCTCATGAATTAATTATTTTATTAAGATTTTACAAATAGTATGACTAAATCCTCGACCAACTGAGAAACGACATGGACCCTCCGGATAATTTATAGTACCAAGATTACAGAGCCACCTTTCCCAGTAGGTATTTCAAAGAATCTTTTTTTCTGTTTTCCAAAAACTAATAGTACTAAATACCTATTATCAATAGTTTATCATTAAACAAGTCACCCGGAATCGATGGCATAACTGCATTAAATTTGAAATCTGTTGGTAAAACTGTTTCTCCTGTTTTAACTTTTTTAATAAACTTAAGTTTTGAAAATGGCATATTCTCCGATTGTCTGGTTTCGTAGCTACCTAATGAACCGAATTCAATGTGTATGTGTTCACAATGTCACTAGTGTACCAGCCACAGTTGCATGCGGAGTTCCACTGGGTGCTGTGTTGGGCGGTTCACGATGAATAAGCTTGCACTAAGTGTAAAAACTAAATTTATTTATTTTTCGTTAAAACATACAACGAACATTATACAAAATATTTATTTTAAGTGAAAGTTTGCTTGTTAGCGTGTCCCAAGTGTATAAAAATCGAGTTCCCCAAATTAAATATCTTGGTGTGTTAATGGATGCAAATTGTTCCTGGAAACCACTTATTTCCAATCTAAAACGCTACTCCCGGTTGAAGTGACCTCCCAAAGAACACTCGTTTTGTTTCTAAAAAAAATTTAAATCGTGCATCTTACCTTTAGAAAGCATTGAAATTTTATTAAAATAAATTAAGTTTTTTCGTCTTCAAATATCATCATTGTTATTAATTATTTTCAGTATTTTATGCGGCAACAAGCACCACAACACTGTTTTTAATAGGCACATTTTTTTCTTTACGTACCAGTTTTTTTTGCTATTGCATAAAGTATACCTTCTAATATAGCCTCAGGTCATATAACTTAAGGCGCTGATGCGGTACTTCTTGCGGTACCAATCTTAAGGGGTTTTTGAGAAAATAAGATATACACCAAATGAACGCGTTGATAATAGCTTTTAAAAAAATCGCGAACATTTGATAACTCCGTAAAAAATTGTTTTCTCTAAATATAAGATATCTTATAATAATAAGATAATCTTATAATTAGAGAAAACATTTAAAAAAGAAACACCGTCACGTGCGTCAAGTCATTAGCAGTGCCTACCATTAGTTTGTAAAAAAAATCAGCTTCCTTCATCCAACCGTTACCTAGTTAAATCCGTAAAAATTTCGTGAAAAACCAGGTTATGGCTGTGACCTTTTCACCTGGTCTTCAGAGTCACCATGTTATTGACAGCGCTAAATGCCGTCGCGTTTTGAATGTTGTCCTTTCTTGTCAGGTCGGCTGTCCGTCGTTGTTGCCTGCTACGGGCGCTGCCTGGTTGCTGATGATTGTACGCTGATGGTTTCCACTAGGCTGCCGTGTTTGCCAATTTTGCAAAATCCAGGGCAGCCAACCGACAGTTTGGATTTTGCTTCAACTATGGCAACCCATAATTCTGCCCTGTGTGTCCAAAAGATTAGTAAATTTTTTGAAAAAAAATACGCTATTATATTCGGTATGGCTGGCTGTCTGGCTGGCTGACGGCTGAGATGTCAACAATTGCAATAGCTAGAGACTTCAAATTTTCACTAAAACTTTTCTGCTATAGTGTAGACGTGCAAGCTCCAGTCTATTTTGAGTTAGATTACTCGTGAGATCGATAATTTTAAACTTTGCTAAAAAAAAATGCTGATCTATATTACCAAAAATGCTCTTTCATCATGCATATGCTGATTTGCAATTGGTTTTTCATCATGTCGGGTACTGGTTTTTTAAAATGCTTACCTTCCAGGCAATACTTGCCGCAATCTTTACCAAATAAATTCTTCACGTGCATTTATTGCACCTGAGGGTGATGTATTGGAGATGCAATTTGTAAAGTATTGTGAGCGGCTTTCGTTAGGAAATAACGTTCCCTCAGGCCAACGCTTAGAATATCAATAATACTGCGAGGACAGCACGTTTGGACTCTTTTTCCATTCCACTTACATCGATAAAAGAGAGAAATCGGTGCTAAAAGGATTTTAATATACTTCAATAAATACATTACCAAAAAGATTCTGTTCCCGATTTCTATTCAAATTGAATTGTCTTTGCTCGATCAGTTTTTACAAGATGGAATCGAGATTTATGTACCTACTTTGCATGTTCCTTTTGCAACGCGTTTAATCACGTTCATACAATGATTTGGAAATGAAGCTCAAGTGAGGCCGTGAGAAAATTATTTGAGAGGAAAATGCCACTAAGAAAAATAGTGCCTAGAGAAGACAAAAGAAAAGATTAATAACATCATTCACAGTGTGATTTATCCCACATTCGCGTTGACTGTTTCCTAACACACTCCACAAATTTTTTCGGTCTCGTCTACGTTTTGGTAATTAATAATGGCCACTTCAATTCTAAATTTTATAGTAGGACAAAGTCAACATGTATCACGTACTAAAAGTAAACATTATTGGAAAATCTCGACTGCAGAAGTTGAAGTTCAGTTGCAAAAACGGTCACTTACCCCTTGCTACTGCTACCAGAAACAGTGCATTACCTTTCAGATTCATCAATAGGTACGTATATGTTACTTTAGTGCCCTTTCCTTCTAATCACTTCCATTTCCCCTACCTTTTAACAAAACACTGCGCGTCCTCGAAAAATGCAACTGCACCTGTGTTTTCTAACGGGCGCGGCGATAACACGTCCTTATCTTGAAACTAATTAGCTTTGCAGCGATCAAAGAAAATTTTATCTACGGCCGGAGATAAACTTTTACAAATACTACGCAAATAATTTCAAGATGTTCTAGTTCCAGATAACTCACGTAATTTAAATTTACAATTACCAAAACAAAACGATTATTTAAACAAAATGAAACATCAAATAGTTAAATAATTCTGATACAACACAAAATTGACCTAGAATTCGAATGACATGATGTTGCTTAATCCCAATTTACATTTTAAAGTTAACAATAAATAAAAGTCACATACCCATAGTTATTATTAGTGCTGAAGCCAAATAAAACATCCTCGTCACGTTTAGTAAGAGTTTATATCTTTCGGCTGGTTGTTTGTTATATAAACAAATCGAATTGTGTTTCGAGCGAGTTAACACAACGGTAAATGGTAAGTGATAAATAGGACGAGATGCCCATAGTCCGCTCTAAATGGGGTTACAATTATCAAAGAAAGAGGTTTTATACGGTTATAAGGTATAAAACCTCTTTCTTTGGTAAATAATAATTACCTTTAACATCAACTTTACTGTTGGCCCAACGACAAAAAACTTGGAAAATTATTCCAACGCTCAGATTACATTTCAGGGTGGAAAAATTACAGTTAACTTGGGGATTCATGCTCAAAATGTAACCACGGCTAAAATGCACAAATGCATTTATGATTTTATTTATCAATTAAATTAATCTAAAAAAGTAGTAATATACTATAAATTAATTATTTCGCCAATTACATTCTAAATCAACACTAGACATATCTGCAAATTCCTTAAGTGATAAATTATTAAACTTAAAAACTAAATACATTAAACAGTATCGAAATATTCAATGGATTAGGCCTACATGGGATACCACGAAAAAAAAGCGCTCTATTAGCTGACCTCCTGGGTAGTGTGGAAATGGGTTTGTATAACAACACCATTTTAGGTGATGTTGGTTTGTACCATAATTATTGTTTATTGTTGCATTTGTAATTTCTTGTAACTTGTAACGTAGTTTTTTCAATAAATTGATTTCAATTTTTTATTTATTAATAAACAAATTGTTCTTTGTTTTTACTTCATTGGCATCGAAAATTCAAATTTCAGTATAACAGAGATAGGTGCCCTGTGTAAGGAAGAGAGAGAAAAAATTTCAATTTACCGCCTTCCGCCATATTGTTTTTCAGTCATTTGGTGTTTTGGTTAGAATTAAAATGTAATTAGATTTAATTAGTGGAATAAAAGTTCAATTGCGAGAATTAGGGTGTAGTAATTATTTTAATTTATTTTTTATTGATAATTTACATGGTGGTTAAAATACTAGTCTATAGCCACATAAACAGACCCATAATTCCCGCTGTCATAACAACGGGAGTTATAAAATCTAATTCCCTGTCAGAACAATAGGACTACTTTGACAATTAATTGACATTTACGGTAAAGTCAAACACAATGGTTAGCTTTCAATCGTGTAATATAAGTCAAAACCTACAGAAGGAACGAGAAGGACATTTCATAGGTGGTAACCATGTTATATTTCTTAAAATGGTCTTCCTTTACGATACTTAACTTCATTCATTTTGTAGGTTGTGATACAGATCCATTGTCGTAGCAATTGTGTGTAAAACAACATTTTGAAATTCATCTAGGTACTTTTCAGATTTCCGCCAGACAGTGAATGGCGAATCTTAGACTTCTTGGGCTTAAATCCCTGATTCTTATTTTTAAAAACGTTTTCAATTGCCCATACCTATAATCCAAAAGAACGTTTTAGTATTGTTCAAATTCGACTAATAATGTGTATAAATAATACCTTGAAATGTCTAGGTTCTCTCGCACACGCAGCATGGATCTAAGCATGGAGTAGTAGATCCACAAACAAGACGGTTTTCCCTGCTTAGATCGTTCACTAAAATACGCCAAAAGAATTTTTTCGTTAACAATCTTCAAGGATTTTTCCGATCGCAATTTACAAAACTTGGAGTATTCGGTTTCATATAATGTTTTGAAGTCGCCGGCACTAACTCCTTAAGAGCGTCTTCAGCTTCTTTTATTCCCCCCATGGGAACATCATCATCTTCATTCCCTTCCAACATTTTCCGTTCTTGAACAAACCCAAACGACACAAAAATTGCTTTCAAAATGACGGGCGCAGCATTTTTTGTTGTTTATATACGTAACTAGGTAACCATGGCAGTCGCAGCCAACCCCATATGCAACAACGCGAATCAGATGTGAAATTTTTATTTGCAAATTAATTTACTTTTCAACAGCAATTCTACTATTATCAATAAAAAATAAAACGTAGAATGTACCACGGGATAAAACGGAGTATAATTCCCCTCGGGAAACGCAATACCCTCGCGACTACGTCGCTCGGAGTATTACTGTTCCCTCAGGGAATTATACTCTTGTTTTATCCCTTAATACATTATCTACTATAAACGGCGAATTAATTAGTCAGTGGCTTGTTGCAGAAACAGAAAAGGTTGGCACCAGCTGAAGATATCTTTTGCATTTGCAGAAAACGATCTGAGAGGATTTGTTATTTCAGTCCCAGATTATAGTTTCATTAGACATATTTGAAGCAACGTTACTTAGCAACCTTTAAAGCTCGGAGTACTTTAATCGCATTTTTTTCGCTGTTTTAAACAGTGATTTTGATATAAATTTCTGTCCAATAACTCACAATTTCCAAAGCACGAATGTTTATTCCTTCCTTGACATCCACAATGACACAACTTTACTTAACTTTATCAAAACTCAATTGAAACATGAGTTCTGCCACGACTAAAACCCCAATGCCTTCCAGAAACTCTCTTCGAAATAATCCCTACCTATCCTGATTGATTAATTACCATTCACAAAAGGGCGCCTTAGTAATGAAAACGGCCATCTTTGATCACTGATTCGTATCTTTCGTTCCTGCCCTATGAATTAAATGAGAGCTGATGAAATTATCCAAGTCTATCCAAGCCCACAACAAGGCGAAATGGCTACTTTCTCAAAAATTCAACGACAAAATTCCAAATTAAGAGCTACCGTTACAAGTCATTTTGCACCGTCCTGTTACATTATTAAACTAAATAATTATTATAAGGACAATTTCATTCCATCAATATAATCCATTTAAGTGGATAGTATTTATGGGGGCTATCATTGGTCGCTATGTTACTTGTCACATCAAAGTAACATTAAAAAAGCAGAAAGTACTAAATTTCTAAGAAATACATTAAAATTTGAATTAAATTTGTGAAAAGAAGAGAATCTCCTTTAAATAGGTATTTATTGAAGTGTATATTAAAATCCTGTTCGTAATGTATTATTTCTCTCATTTATGAAGAAAATGTGCCATCCTTGCAATAGATTCGTCTACCCAATAAATTAACTTCAGAAATACGAAGTGTACGTAGACGTATAACAGACATACCTACCTCTCAGATTTATTTATTTGAGCATGGCCAATTACTATGACTGCATTATCATTTCCATCTAGTTGCACACCGTATTGCTCTGGATAACGATTTAGATTACTGAAGTGAACTTAATTTATGTGTGCCTTATACATGTATATATATAATCGAGTTGTAGAGGAATTCCTTTGCACTAAGTAAACCTTAAATCTTAAAGCAAAGCAGTATAGATGAAACAAAAGCTTTTAGTTTCAGTTTGTAAACCAATGAAAGAAAGATGCGCATCTATAAGCACATCAAAAATTCATTACAAGCAAGGATCACAATGGAAATGGTCTCGATATTTTTATTACATCAACATTCAGTGCATGCATCATAAAATCTAAATGGAAATTGAATTGCCTTTTAGGCATTAATACATCTCAATACTGTTATTACCAATAAATGACTTTTAGAAACCGTTCCGATGCCTCTTTTTCAAATAACTAAGTAAACCAAATCAGACCAATCCCGCCCTAGTGCAAGATATGGTAATACCTAATAATATCATTCATTATGTGCACACGTACTAACAATTGACTTTTGTTCCAGGTACGTGATTACAAGTTTGTGTGGACCAACCTGCTACAATCCCCAATCAGTCATAACTCTCGTCTTTTGGGTCGGCTACTTTAATTCGGCACTCAACCCCCTAATATACGCGTATTTCAATCGAGAGTTTAGAATAGCTTTCAAAAAGACTTTACACACATGCTGCCAGATTACGTCCAAACGTATCTGCTGTCGGCGAAGACCACGCTCCGATCCTGTCACTTACAGTAACGCGTCGAGCGAAATACACATGAACAATCATCTCAGAACCGATCTCAGGATTACCGAAGGGAACCAAAGACTAAGTTATAACGTTTCAGAGGGCGAAACCGTAAATTTACAAACTGAAGCTGTTATATAGATAATTAGTACGTAGCTGTAAGGTGTATTAATTAAAGCGATAATTTTTGTTAAGATTTTGTTAATAATCATATCAGAAAAGGCATTCGTCTAGATGCGAAATATGATTAAGGTTGTTTATAGAGATTTCTACTGCAACCAACGCGATAATTGCCAAAATACAAAACAAAGACACTAATGTAGTACTCAAAGTATGCGAATTTTGTATTTTTTTTAATTTTTTTTTTAACCTTTAAAAGTTTGTCAAATAGTTTTTTAGAGAGTGTAGTTAAATTTGCCTTTATTTATTTAAAAGATGTAGTTATTTACAGATGATAATAAATTATATCATGTATTAATAGAACATACTATATTTTTGCACTTTATCTCAGGGTCAAGAAAAATAGTCACAAGGATAACGATACGCAAAGGCGCTAGATATGCAAGTAAATATTTTATTTACATAAACCAACAGTCCAATTTTTTTGTTAACATATAAAAGGTTAGAGTCTATATTGATCAACAGTTGTTTGAAATTCACTTTTTTAATTCAAATTTCCCGCGCTTTCTTCTATCCGATATGACGACTATGCCGGTATATGCCGCATCAACCACAGAGAAGTAAACGATGATTGTAAAGTGTAACAAATTAAATGATGGAATAAATAAAAAGTAAGCACAGTTTTGTGCACCACGAATATGACCGCCACGTAAAAAAATGCTTCAACGCGCAGTATTGCCCTCGATGGGATGTTATCAGTCCCCCTCTTTCATAGTCTAAGGTATCAACAAAGAGCTTCCACCGGAAGTACGATAAAAATGTGATCACAACGAAATTTGGCATTTGTGTGGTTATGAGCAAAACACTGACGATACAAGAATTATTTTTGGGAAATAGGAAAATGTCAGGCTGTTATTTTTAAAGTGTGTGCTTAAAATGTCAGAATCGAACATTGAATTCGCTATTTTTATGTTCAAACCGCATGCCAATTTTTTTAGAGATAAGAATCTTTTTCGCGCTTTTGGGTTAGAACTGAGCCATTTTGGATTAGCAAGTAAAAAAGTTATCGCGAAAGTCGGAATGTTGGTATAATTCAGGTAACATATCGGTAACAGATATTTATATAGTCAAAGATAAAAAAGGTAAGTTTGATACAACGTACTAATAACCTAAGGAGTAACTACAAATTAACGAGTCAGTAAGTAAAATATCATCAAAACCATTGGCGTACCGACGTGGAGGTATTCATATATTGTGAAACATCACACTATATAGTCATTTGCAATACACATAACAAAACAATGCGGTTACGGATTTCATAAAAAAAGAAGGCGTATTTGTTCAGCAAAAAAACACTCATGGAGATATTGAATGAATTTGTTTAATTGTTATCGAACGCTTATGCGAGGTGTGTAAACGAACTTTGTTATAGTCCAATTCGATTGAAGGATCTTTCTTATTAATTTGATTTGTGTGTGAGAATAAATTTTGTCTGTGTTCATGTAAATCGTATGTTTATTCGAACCCTTTCACGATTCAGATAGATGTCTCATGCTTTGATCCGTACCCAAAGTTCGTTTTAGGTGTCTTCAAAATTTATTTCAGTAATTATTCTTGGAATTTAAGGAATTTGATCGGGAATTGTGCCGAGATTCAGATGTTTTCTAGGAAAAAAGAGAGCTAGCTAATAGTGTTGCGTATATGGTTGATTTTGGCCAGGCCACTGCACGCAGTATTATTATTTGCTCTCCCAACGTGGGGCACTGCATTTTTTTTATGCGCCCCGAATGTTAGGGTCACAGCCATACATAATTGATGATCTATAAAAAAATTTACCCTTAATAAAATGTGATTTGAAACTTCTACTGATACTTTGAAAACTTATAATTCATTTAATATACAAAAATAATCATTGAAAAAGATCTTGTTATCGTATTCTAATGTATCTGACCGTGCTTAGTATACAGTTAAACAAAACATGTTAATTACTCAGCATAAAATAGTATAAATTTTGGGACCAATTCCATTAGATTATTCGTATTCCATTTTCTCTCTGTTGTAAATTTTGCATTGTATACTGAATTGGACACATTTATAGAACGTAAAACAAATATTCATTGTACTCGTAGTATTGGCAATTTCATTATTTATTAACTAAGTTATGGCATTATATTTCAGTACAGAGAGGGAAAGTCTATTACACTTCTGAAGTTATATCAATTTCGATCACACGAATGGTATAAAAGCGTATCGGTATATTTCATCGTATGTTTTGATTTAGATCTGCGTTTCAATGCAATTCGTGCTTTAAATTAGAGTATTGTTTATTGTGATAGTGGTGTGTCCAACAAATACATGAAAGAACATGGTGTGACAATTGCTTTGTTTGAGGACTGAATAGAACATAATATAGCATCGTGTTCTCGTTTCAAACTGATTAATTTATATGTGTAATTATGCACTCTTAAATTTGTGTTATTAGTATAATGGTGAGCATTATTTTATATTGATTTGTATCCCACAACGTTTATATCAATTATTGCCATCAAAACAGACCCCAGCAACTATATTTTGTGGAGATGCTGAATAAGTGATGCCTCCGATAGCGTTCGTGTAGAATTTATTCAAAATGGGGTCTATGGGGTGGAAGTAACTGAAAATAGTGTTGCTGGGCTTCAAGATTCTGTGCGATTTGGAGGTCCTCCTGGCAGCGCTTCCAGCGTCATGTCAACTCAGAGAAGATTTTCATTCCTTACTAGGTTATACAGTGTTACTCCATCCACCCTATTGTCCAATTTAGCTACCCGAAGCTGTAACTTTTTTTGGGTCGCTGGGGGATATTATTCCTTGAAGACATTTTACGACGATGGGGATGTAATTAAACAAGAGAAATCCTAGCTCCAGTGGCAGAGGTGAGGGGAAGGTGTTCTGGTCCTCTAGTGTTAAATTCAATATGGTTTAGTTTGCCTTTCCTCACGTTTATATTTTATGCTAATGGTTTTTAAAAACTGGGAGTTTATCGGATAATCGCATCCACTCGACAGTTTTTATACCCGAAACTATCATAAAAATCCATCCAGAAAGTTTGAAACCTACGTGAATGTGTATGTGCTGAAACAACTTCAGAAGTTTGCTAATCTACCCTTCTTGTTACAATACGCATGAACGTCACACCGTCAGCACAGAATTATTACCTATAAATTTTAAGATCAATAATTTCGTACACTGTAACAAGCTTCTGCGAAAATTGCACAGCTTAGCTATTCTTTTTTTTTTCTGTAGATGGAACAAGTTAGGAGAAAAATATAATATAAAAATAAAGAGAAGAAGAATGCAAGTTTATAAATGAAGATAATATTGACGTTCATTGTCACTCCCAACCGCACTTTTATACTAAACTACATAAAATCGTTTGTCTTTGAAGTATTTGAACATAAAAACGTAACATTTCCAATATAAAACAACCGAGCGTCAGATTGAATTTTCTTTGTTTCGGCATTCGAATGCACGATTCAGAGATAAAAGGCGATGTAGTATGCCTGAGAGCAAGTTTTTAAGTATTTTCGTGCCAACAAAACATCAGCTACACAATTTCCTTTTAATTTTAATATTCATTATTTCATTGAATTCCAGGTTGAACGATTTCTACTAGTGTAAACAACATTTAAACGCATTTTGTACATTCTCGGGTGGAGAAGAACTTTAAAAGAACTCGATGAAAACTTATGAGCAAATTGAGCCGTACAAGGAATTTTAAGGAAATCCGAGCGCATCCTTGATTCCCCACTTACGGCTAATAAATTTGAACTCATTGACATGAAAATCTCCACTGGAAATTTCAAGACCAAATAATCCTGGCTAATAGGTTCCGAAGTGAGAAGGGGCTTTAATCCTATTTACTAATGAATGAAGCGACTGAGTTCAAAATTATAAAGATAATAGAGGATGTTTAAAATGCAGTTGAGAGGAATTTAAGAAACGCTTAAAAAGTAATTAAGAAAAGCTCAGAAGAACGTAGAGGAAAAAGAATTTTCGAAATTTAGAGCAACTTAAGGAGAAGTATTTTAGGAGGGTTCCACGAGAACTTAAGACAACTTTGATGAGGATTGAAGGATCTTGACTCTGACGTAAAAAGGCTAAAATACCGTAAATAAATACCTCTACTTTTTTTCGTGAGATAAGTTACGCACGCACTCAAAAATCACCCGTACAGCCGCGTCGTTAATTTGCACCGCTTAATAAAGGGATCAACACCATCACTCTAATTTTCTCGCTTCGTTACCGATCGACGAAGTACGAATAAGCAAGTAATTCGCTAAATTAATGCCCATCTCCTTCGCTTATCAATGCAGATGCCGTTTTATAGAGACTGTCCAATTAATTTGTCCGATAACAGCTTTTACACAACACATTGACCCAGATAAGACTTCGCTCAAAGTCGGGGCGGGATTTGTATCCTAAATAATACACGTGCGCCCGGCGTAACCCTTTCCCAAATAGGTATGAGCTTCATCTTAACACTTCAGGATGTCATCTCCAAGACGCATTCAACCCCAATCGCCGACTGGAGTGTTCGGAGGTCTAAGAGAGCTCAGCCCCAGCTCGGGGAACACATTTCCGGTAAGCTACCTAATTAATTGTCGATGATCGCGGATAAGCAAATCGCCATGTTTGTGTACGTGACCATCGAGCGAGAAAGACGACCAGTCGAACTTAATGCTGCCAGCCACCCTTTATGATCGTACGCGTAGATTTATAATGAAAGGTGAATGAAATTTACACAACAATATTAATAATAAGCCAAGGTAAATAAAATTATTTTAGCCTAGAGCCCAATGCTCGACACATCCAAATTTGAAAGGAAATATGTTATGCGATTGTCAAAAAACCCGCCCCCATAACATTCGCCTCAAGTATAGATTTTCTTCCGCAAGATTAATCCGCGGAAATTTTCCCCTGAAATATTTCCCTCGGGAACAATCAAGTTGGGAAGATCTGCTCGGGATAGATGGGCACCTTGGAAGATTCACTTCCAAAGAAAACCCACCATCTTGTAGTACTCGCTCGCTAGGAACTTGCTTGGAACTCGTCGCCCCAGGGAAATTCGACTCCGTTAGAATACTCGCCACTCACTTGCTCCAAAGGAAAAAATAGCAAAGTTCCTACGCGCGTGATAACATTAGCCACAATCAAGTTTCCTGTAGAACAAGAAACCCCATTTCCAGGTAATTGGCCCCAGGAAATTAATACCTGCAGAAAAATTCTACCATGCTATAGTGC